ATAATTTTGTGACAGGGACTGTGTAATAGAATGTTGATACATTTTAATAAAATATTTAATTTCTATTTATTTCAGTTAGATGCACCATATTAAAATTTGATCCAGGTATATGTTTACATTGAAATTTTTCAGTGATAATTGTGCTCATTCCATCACACTTGAAGGTCAATTTGATTCTTGTCTAATATGGAGATGTAAATACTGGAAAGCATAGTTATATACTCTTTTAAGAAACCTCGGGGTGGAAAGCTAAGTCTAATTTGCAGTGGCATGCAGGGCTAAGGATTCTAGAGAAAGACAGAAATTCCAAAGGATGAGTGAAAGTTGAGAGTTTTGAGCTCACATGGGTTTAGCGGTAGTTTTGGGCTCTTGAGGAGATTCACTTGCATGATTAACTGAGAAAACTGAAAGTGGTGGAGAGGTGGATAAGATTTTTAAGATCTCATCTAGTAAAGATGCCACCCAGTGGAAATTTTAAAGCTTAGACACACTTATTTTCTATTGTTTCATTTACCTGTGATCAACAGCAGTCCAAAAATATTAAATGAAAAGTTCCAGAAATAAACAATTCATAAGTTTTACATTGCACTTCACTCTAAGTACTGTGATGAAATCTCACACCATCTCATTCATCCTGGAAGGAATGAATGTCAGTCCTCCTTTCTCTATCATTGTCTCAGTGCATTTGCTACCTACCCATCAGTTACTCAGTTATCAGATCAGTGGACATGGTGTCACAGTGTTTATGTTCAAGTAATTCTTATTTTACTTAATAATGTCCTAAAAGTGAATGCATAGTGGTGCTGGCAATTCACATATACCAAAGAGAAGCCATAAAAGACTTCCTTTAAGTAAAATGGGTCATATACTGAGGTTGCTACGATATACAGTAAGAGCAAATCTTCTATTTGTGAAATTGTCAAGAAGGAGAAATGCGTTTGTGTTAGTTTTGCTGATTCACCTCAAATTGCTAATGTTATGGCCTAAGTGTATAATAAATTCCTAGTTAAGAAGAAAAAGGCATTAAACTTGTGAGTGGAAGATATGAAACGAAGCATATTTCTATTGACAACAATTAGGTTCCGTACTATCTGTGGATTCGGGCATCCACTGGGGTTCTTGAAACTTATCGCTATTGGATTAGGGAGGACTACTGTAAAAAAAATAATAATTAGTTTAACATTGATCTTTTCAATGACTTTCTGAAGTGATTTTCTACCTATGTGGCAATGTATTTAACCCTTCTGAGAACAAGACTTAAGATCGACCAGATTCAGAATTTAACCCCAGGTTCAATGCTTACTAACTGCAGAACCATGAAAAATTCACTCACAATCTCTAAAATTCAATTTCTTCTCCTTTGAGATGGGAATAATAATAATACATGTTTCATCTGGTGGTTTTCAAGGTTTAAATGAGCTAAGCAGGGTGCCTAACACAGATTTCGGTTTCACTAAATTTTAATAATTAGCTTATAACTTTTGCTAAATGATATGATGAATAACCTAAACCAGAATATAATATCATATGATATGATAATATCAATAACATAAACTAATAGAAATTGTTTATTGAGATTATAATATTTGCTTATATAATTATCTCAGTCCTTTAGGTAAGTTCAATCATTTCAATAACTCTAGATAGAGATAAATAAGAGTTTAAGAAACTGAAATAAATTCTTAAAACTGGGGGGAAATAGTTGTAAATCTAACCTCTAGTTAATGTGTTGAAGAGTTTTGATCCTTAAAAGTTGTCAGTGTTGGTCAGACACAGTGGCCTGAGGCAGGTGGATCACGAGGTCAGGAGTCTCAGACCAGCCTGGCCAACATGGTGAAATCCTGTCTCTACTAAAAATACAAAATGTAGCCAGGCGTGGTTGGTTGTGGGTGCCTGTAATCCCAGCTACTGGGGTGGCTGAGGCAGGAGAATTGCTTGAACCCGGGGGACTGAGGATGCAGTGAGCTGAGATCAGGCCACTGCACTCCAGCCTGGGCGACAGAGCAAGACTCCATCAAGAAAAAGAGAAAGAGAGAAAAAGAGAAAGAGAGAAAAAGAAAGAAAGGAAGAAAGAAAGAAAGAGAAAGGAGAAAGAAAAAGAAAGAAGAAAGAAAGAAAAAAAAGAAATTTATCTAACATGCTTATTATTAACAAGAACATTTGCTAAGTCCTACACTTAATTATCATTTTTAAGTGTTTGAAACCACAGTTTCTTTATTTATAAGTAATGTGCGTCCCAGACCAGGTTTGGACATGTTGAGCACACTAATTGGTTTCTTATTTTATTTTATTTGTTTGTTTGTTTGTTTTTCATTTTTTTTGAGATGAGGTTTCACTCTTCTTGCCCAGGCTGGAGTGCAATGGCGTGATCTCGACTCACTGCAACCTCTGCCTCCCTGTTTCAAGCGATTCTCCTGCCTCAGCCCCCCGAGTAGCTGGGATTATAGGCGCCCACTTCCACACCTGGCTAATTTTTTTTGTATTCTTTTTTTTAGTATAGATGGGGTATCATCATGTTGTCCAGGCTGGTTTTGAACTCCTGACCTCAGGTGATCCATCTGCCTCGGACTCCCAAAGCGCTAGGGTTACAGGCATGAGGCATGCACCCCGCCGGCTTCTTATTTTAAACCATGTTTGCAAGCGTATGTGCCTTATGCATTTCAGTTAGGGTTTTGGACATATACCATAGACCCTCACTTTGTCTTGATATTGCTGCTCTGCAAACAGGTGGTAAATTCTTTGCAGATTTCAATTAAGTCCATTTTTTTTCCAGAAATTTTGAAAATACTAAGAATCCAGAAATTGTAGTCACATATATATGTAATGTTATGGAGGGAGCAAAGTAAATTTTTGATAATATAGAAAGTTAGGTAGTTCCTGAACTGATAGATTTTTTTTTCTCTATGGTTTGTTTTCACATTCAATATATATTTGCTTCTTCCATTTAGGCTAGATTTTAATAAGACACCTCTAATTTATAGCGTAGTTTTAATTGAATTAGCTAACTCTGATTATATAACTCCAAATTGGCAGATGTACAATTTCTTTAAATGGTGTATCTGAAATTTCAAAATAAAAGCATTTGTTTCCTTCAACCATACATTTTAAAATCAAGAAAACATGCAAATGTTAAATTGGGAATTTGGAGTTTGACAGTATATTTATTTGATTTTAATAAGAAAAGTATTTTTGCATATAAAGTGCATGAATTTCAATTTGATAATGACATAAGTAGGAATAACAGAGATGATTAAAAATACTACCTCAATTTCACATACAAATATATCTTTATATCTCCTACTAGCTCTATGCTTTTTTATTTCCCATCATCTTTAGTGATAAAAAATGACCATAATATTTTTATACCATAAAGGAACTTCAGAATTATAGTTTCAAATGTTTCTTACATAGCTTCAAAGGATAAAAACCAGAAAATTGAATACAGTTTTCCAAACTGCCATTGGTAATAGAAGAAGAAATTCCACTCTGATTTCATTAAGATTAAATGCTGTTTCTACCACACAATAAACTGTCTTTACGATTTGCCAACTAAGTTAAAAAAAACCAAACCAAACAAAACAAACAAACAAAAAAAAAACCCATAGTATATTCTAATATTAAAACCACCTCATATGCTATTGTCTTCACAGGGACAATAAAACGTAATGACCTCTATTCTGGGTTTCTATTTACTGAAGATATTGTGTTCAAACAATAGGCAATGATAGATATTTTAAAAAGGCTATATAAATCAAATACAGAAGTGGAAGTACGTATGTTCACATGCACACATTTATGTACATATAGTCATTAAATAAACACAATTGGATTTGCTAGGACTATACAATAAACACACGTGCACTTGAAAAATCATAAGAGGTTGTGAAATATGCTTGGTGCAAGAATTTAGTCTATATACTACAATAATGTTTATTTAAGATCCATTAATGTGACATTTCAGCTGAAGATCATTTTGTTGTGGAAAGAGATTTGAGCTCTGACCACGAAAGAAGGAAAAATACTCACTACTGGAGGTGTTTCAGCAACCTCACTTCTAATATCAGATCCTTCTCAAATTCTACCTTAAAATGTTCATAACATATTCTTATCTTTATGCATTACAATATATAGCACTGCCATTAATTTAGAAATTATATTACCAGACATCTTGGAGAAAGTTTAAATTTATTTTGAACTATTTCAGGAGTACAAAATGAATAAAGAATATGAAAAATTCTCTGTCTCCACTATTAAATAAAACTTAAAAGTTTTAATCATTCCTATAAACTTTCACTGATTGTATTCTTCTTCCACACAGAGATATTTACAATTCTGAATTTGTATTGATTACCTCTTTAGATTCTTTATATTTTACTTCATATATATGTACTCTGAAACATTGTAAATAAACTAGAGCTATGCATATCAATAAAAACGAATCCAAAAACTTAATTTCTATAAAAAAAGAAATAAATTGGTGAAAACTAAGTATTATTTATAATAATAATTACATGAAATTTTATTGTTTTATGTCTACCTATAAACATTGTGTAATTCTCTATGTCTCTGCTAATTTCTGCTACATTTAGTTTGCTAAATAATACATAAGATTTTCTTAACAAATCTTTACCCTCACCTTCCACTTGCTAGTGGAATCTTATCAACTTGATTCTAAAACCTAATGGCCATGATCAATCTACCTAATTACTATGTCCATTATTTTGGACCCCTTTAAAGCAACTAATATTTTCTTTCTGTTTCCTGACATTTGATATTGCCACATAGCATCTAACAACTTTATCAAGGTATACTTTACTTCTGAGGTTCTTACTTACTTAGTGTCACCATTCATACCAGCTGTTCATTCTTTTAAAAAAGAAGTTGATAATTTATCACTATATCACTATCTAGCAGAAACATGCAAAGTTTTTAAAACATCCTCATCGCATTACTCTGATGTAAAATATAATATATAGAATAACAAGTGCTCATCAATAGCATTTGACCTCAGGATTATACTTAAGACTCACATTTTCTGATACATGTGAAACAAATATATTTCTGTTAAATGAATGGCTTAATACGTTTGCACAAAGATCTTCATAAAATGTGAGAGACCATTTAAGTATAATAATAATCTGGGTTGCTGCCATTTTTCTTCCTTTGTTTTTTGTCGCAAAAGGCAATCTGTGCACTCCTGCGTTATAGAACATAGAGCATAGGGAGAGAAAGAACAATTAAATTAATTATGTATTCTAAGCAAGATTAGAAAACTGTAATAGCTCAAAGAAAAAGATAAAATTCTCCTGAATAGTGGAATTTTAAAAACTGTAAAGACGTTTCCCATTAGAATTAAATTGCATAAAAACCAAAGTTACCTCTAGCTCTTATGAAAAGTTCCTGTCTCTTGTGAAAGCAGAAACAATCACATCAGACACATATACTGAGAAAATGTAATGAAGAGTAATGAAACTTAATTGAAGTGCTCTTGGCCATTAGGTTCAGGCCTTCAGTGGATTAGAGGCACGTACTATTAGGCATTGCTCTTGCTATTTCCATTTAATGTCAGTTTAATGTAGGTGTGCATACTGTTCTTCTGCTCCAATTAAATTAGTCAAAGTTATATTTTGAAATGTGCCAATACAGAGTTAACCTTGGGGAAATATGCTAATAATATTAGAAGATGATATATTTTAATAAATATTGTACTAAAAAGATAATTGCATTGTACTATCAATCAGTTATTTCACTGGATTAGATTATATTGGCTTTCAACATGTCTACATTTAAATATTTCATCTTCCCTATTCATCTTGAAGTTACATACACACACACACACAAACATACACACTCAACAAATATCACCTATTTGTGCCTGTATTATGAATGTCAGATTTTTCTTATTTTCTTCAAATATTTTTTCTGTTCTTGGACCTGAAATAAGATTTCTTCTCTTGCTAATTTATCTAGTCATTCCAGCTGTAGCAGTAGCCCATTTGAATACATGGTTTGAAATCAGAACTTCACCCCAAGAGAGCTTCAGAGGACAATGTTTTCTTTCACCGTGTCTTTCCACCGGGTCATGACTGTCCCCCTCATAAGTAATAAATACCAGATATAGCTAGCTAAGTATTGTGAATTGAGATGTGTAAATAATAAAGTAGAAGTGAAATAGCAGAATAAATGTGACACATATAAATAATAAGCTATTTATTTACTTTCAAAAATAAAACTGTCAAAAGTTATAAAATTAATAAGTGAAATACAAAGTGGTGAATTATTGGCCTTCTTTCTAAAATGTGATTGTAGAAAATCACATAGATATTTAATAATTCTGATGGTTTTCAAATAATAACATTGGACCTTTATTAAACACTCTATCAGTAAATCCCCTCTGCACACACACATCACATATAGGACCCCTATTGGCCTTTCTTAGAGCAATAGTGCTTTGCTATCAACTCTGAAAATTTTAAGGTAACTTATGAAGAGCAAATCTCATGAGTTACCATAAACAACAAACTATGATGAAGGAATTGATGTTATTTTACAGATGTCTTAGCCTTTACTCTTGCTGTTCATTTTTATCAAAATACAGATGTCAAATACTTTAGTACTCTGGAAGAGAAACTCATAGTTGAAGATGACATTTACAGACTATAACATGTGCCTAATATGACTTGCTTATGGTTTAAAAAAATAAATATATAACCTTATAAATACAGGCTAATTGATTTGACAAAATACTCAAGAAGAAAAGTCCCTGTGATTTAGAATTAATGAAAATATTACCGATGGGCGTTTAGGTTGATTCCATGTCTTTGGTATTATAAATAGTGCTGCAATGAACATACATGTGCATGTGTTTTAAAACAAAATAATTTCTATTCTATTTGTTATATACCCAATAATGGGATTGATGAGTTGAATGATATTTCTGTATTTAGGTCTTTGAGGAATTGCCACACTGTCTTGTGAAAACTAAATGATGAGAACACATGGGCACATAGAGGGGAACAACATGCACTGGGGTGTTTCAGAGGGTGAAGGTGGAAGGATGGAGAAGATCAGGGAAAATAACTAACGGGGACTAGGCTTGACAACTGGGTGATGAAATAATCTGTAAAACAAACTCATATGAGACAAATTTGTCTACGTAACAAACCTGCAATTGTACCCTCAACTTAAAATAAAAGTTTAAATAAATAAATAAATAGAAAATAGAAAAAAATAGTGAAAATAATACTGAGACTTCCCAGGGACTCTAGCGACAGATACAGTGCATACAACTCTGTACGTAATTTAAACAGAGCCCAGAATACAATCACAAAATTTACCAACTGACAAGGATAATTAGGTATAAAAAGACAAACATTAATTAAGAACCAAATTTCTAGAAAAAAATGCATTTATTACTGTAATGTTTTATTTTCAACGAAAGAATTATTGTACTGAATGATAAACCTAAAGGCACTGAAAATATTCAGCCCAGAAAGAAAAGGTATAAAGGAGAGAGTACAGATAACATTAGTGTAAAATAAGATAGAAAAATCTCTTGCCAGATTGATCAAGAAGAAAAAAAACAGGCACACATAAAAGTAATATTAGTAATGATAAAGCAAATATAGCTGTATTTAAAAATGAGAGTACAGTATTATGGTAATAACGTGAAGATTTTGATGAAATACCAAAATTCTTAGAAAAAATATAACTTGTATTTGAATCACAAAAAATCTGAATACCCCTATAAAATATAAATAATTAAAACATTCCTTATGAAACTGTAAGAAAAATACCAGGCCCAGGTGATTGCCAACACCAAGGTCTATAAGACATTACTAGAATACATCATTCTAATGATAGCCAAAGATTTTAAAGTAATATATAAAGGAATATCTTCTATCTTATTCAGTGAAGCCATGTCACCTACATACCAAAAGATGACTGGAATTTTATCAAATAGGATTGTGAATTTCTACATCAACAAATCTCCCAATATTTTTTATAAACTATTAATGACCTATTTGAGCAGTATATTAAATTGTAATTTAATATGAAAAGTTGATTCATTATGGGAATTGGCAAGGTGAGGTGAACAAGCAAAATCTATTAAAAAATATTCAGTGTGTTAATGGAGTGAAGACAATAAAGAGAATACAGGATAAATAGATTCAGTATAAGTATTGTCCAAGCCTGACATGTCTTCATAATATAAAAACCATCTTAAAAAAAAAACCTAGAAAACAAAAAGAATTTCCTTGTCGTGATAAGGACTGCATGCAAATATCTTAAAGGATAACATCAACCTCAATGAGAAAATGTTCAGATAATTCTTTTAAAGTAAGGAATAACACAAGGATCTCTGCAATCAAAACTTATTTTTCACATTCTTCTTGTATTTCTAATAAGGACACTAAAACATATAAAATAAATTAATTCTATAAAGATTGAAAAAAGTAATAAAAACACATTTCCTCAAGATACTATAATGAATTGTTATAAAGAACCCCCCCTCCCCAGTTTGCAGGTACATTATTAGGAAAAATTAACAATGTATACAGCAATAAGATTCATAAAAATAAAATAAATTGTATTTCTATATTTACTTTCCATCTGCTTCTCAACAGGCGGTGTCATGTGTGTAGCACATAAAAATTACCTTGTCTCTAAAAGACAACTTTTGCTGTCTTTATAAGTCTTGCTGTTTTATGTCATTGGTCTAATGAATTGTATTTTTTAGATTTCACTAATTGTATCTCACAAAGGGTGTTTTGTTTGCTTATTTTTAATGATTCTACTTCCAAAATTACATGTGTATTATAAAAGAATAACTGATGAACAGGAGTAAATTTTTGTTTATTAGAAACAGAACATGCTTTAGAAATAACCTATTTATTATATGTTTATTTTAATTTTATCCTTAATCCTATCATCATTCTTTTGGTTTGACAAGGATTTATCCTTGTCATTTACAGTTGGGATGGGTTAGTTTTGAGGACATGTGAATTTCACACACATCTGAGCTGAAGGAAAATATACTCAAGCACTTCTGAGAATAAATATTTAGTGTGGTAGACAAAGGCATTGTCCAATGGTGTTCATACTCTCTAGTCAGTTTTCAGATATGTAACGTGTGATAGGAAGTTACACATAAAGCAACAAGCGATCTCAAACGGTTAACACTATATTACAGTGAGCATTCTGCACCACACAATATATGGATGTAATCCTGGGACAAGCGGAAAGTATAAAGAATCCGCAGCTCAGTAGTTTCTGGGGAATACGGCAGCCTTTGCCGAGTAAGGTGTACAGATCCTACCTGCAGGACCTTGGGAACCTGTAGATAGGCATGCTCTCTTTGGCTGTAGGATGATAGTACTTAGTATAAATTAAGATGATATTAAAGCCATGTAGCGAGATAACAGAGCACATACAGGAAGGCTGCCAAATATAAGTCAATAATAAGATATGAGGACAGGTGTGGTGGCTCATGGCTGTAATCCCAGCACTTTGGGAGGCCACAGCAGGAGGATCACCTGAGGTCAGGAGTTCCAGACTAACCTGATCAACATGGTGAAACCCTATCTCTACTAAAAATACAAAAATTAGGTGGGCATGGTGGTGGGAGCCTGTAATCCCAGCTACACGGGATGCTGAGGCACGAGAATCACTTGATTCTGGGAGGCAGAGGTTGCAGTGAGCCAAGATGGCACCACTGCACTCTAGTCTGGGTGACAGACCAAGACTCCATCTGAAATAATAATAATAATAAAATAAGATTCGAGGCACAATTCTGAAACATACTGGTAGTGTGAGTTTTATTTAGAAGAAGAAATGAATGCGAGTCAAATTCATTTAAAAGAACAGATTCGTCATTCTAGGTGGGACCACTTGAATCACATCGTTTTCTAGGTTCATCTGAGCCTAGGAAAAAGAAAGTAGAAGAGTTATTGAGATTATTATACCCAGTTGTAATTAGATGATCAGAAATAAGGTAATATCAGATGCAAAAACTTGAAACCAGAAATAAATTCCCTCAGTCATTAGCTTGACTAGGGAAAATACATATTTTATAACCCCAACTGGTGAGGTTTGTGTTACTCAGGCTATGAAAAGAAAGGGAATAGAGGGGCTAGACTAATGGCATAGGCTATTTTCATATTCTTTAATAAACAACCTCATTTGTTAGTGGTTTATAGATAGCTCTCAGCTCCATTCACTAAAGGTGTTTGTAAGAAGTAAAAATAAAAAATAATATTATGAACTCAGAAAAAATAGAGCAAAAGTAGATACTTTCTTATATAACCATTGAATATTAAATACACTCTTTTTAAAACATCCTATATTGAATAATTTTTTATATTGTGCCTATTTCTCATTATTCTATGCTATTAGCTTTTTCTATAAAGGGGTTGTTAGAAATAAACATAGAAACAAAAATAAATTTATAATAAGACTTTGAATCTACCCAAATATCTTTTTTTAAAATTTTTATTTATTTATTCATTTATTTTAATTTATTTTATTGCATTTTAGGTTTTGGGGTACATGTGATTGTTGCATAGGTACACACGTGGCAGTGTGATTTGCTGCCTTCCTCCCCATCACCTATATCTGGCATTTCTCCCCATGCCATCTCACCCCAACTCCCCACCCCCACTGACCCTCCCCTATTTCCCCCCAATAGACCCAAGTGTGTAGTGCTCCCCTCCCTGTGTCCATGAGTTCTCATTGTTCAACACCCGCCTATGAGTGAGAACATGCAGTGTTTGATCTTCTGCTCTTCTGTCAGTTTGCTGAGAATGATGGTTTCCAGGTTCATCCATGTCTCTACAAAGGACACAAACTCATCGTTTTTGATGGCTGCATAATATTCCATGGTGTATATGTGCCACATTTTCCCTGTCCAGTCTATCATCGATGGGCATTTGGGT